CCTAACAATAGAATGATGCTTGCTTCCCGTTTAGTGAGTGCGCCTGTTTGCTGAAATGAAGATGAAATGGGACGTCTTCCCGATCTCACAACATCACCCTTGGTTCTGCTTCAACAGTGGGCTTTCCAGAGAGTACACCGGCCCTTCACTACCTGCTCCTAAGACAGGCTCTTGGCGCAGCCAATTCAACCAGTTTCAGGATCCGCAGGAGGCGCCCCGCGCGCCCCGCGCCACCTCCCTGGTTACCAAGTGCAGCCGGGCCCGAGACTACAGGTCCCACAAAGCCCTGCGGCTGCGCGGTCGCGATTGGCTGAGCTTCCCGCTGTAGCCAATAGGACGTCGCTTTGTTGCTGTGTGCCGGTCACCAGGAAGCGCAGAAACGTGTGGGGCGCGGGAGCCAGGTGCTGCTGCTTTAGCGCCGGATCCTGAGACAGATCGCCGCCGCCGCCCGCCTCCCGCCATGGGGAACGCCGAGAGCACCGAGGGCCGCAGGGTGTCCTTCGGAATGGACGAGGAGGAACGGGTCCGGGTGCTGCAGGGCATCCGGGTGAGCGGTGCTGCTGGCGGGGCGTGGGAGGCGACTGGGGGCGGTGTCTGAGGGAGGGCGACTGGGCTTGGCCCAGAGTCAGAACTGAACTGACGTCGCTGGGTGAATTCCTAACATTGGCTCCAGGGCACGAGTGGAGACGAAGGCCACTACTATGCCAGGGAACCCGGGGTCACACATGCCAGTTCTGACGGCTCAGTGTTTCTATGTCCTGAGATTGCCATTTATCCACCCCCTCGCCCCTGCGCTCCTGTGTAACTCCGCTGTGTGCCCCCAATCTTCAATAAGTGCAAGACTGCGCTGCCACGCTTGCCCTCGGCAGCGCGTTTTCCACACCGCCGTCAGAAGGGTACTGTAAAATGTGTTAAGCAGATCATATACTCGGATCCCCTTCCAACTCGCCCATTTCTAACCCTGTACGACGGAGAGGAAACGCCCCTCTTTACCTTGCTTTAAGAAGTTGTGGTCCCTGTTCATCTCTTTGGCCACGTGCCATGCCAGTTACCCTGCCTTCCACTCCACAGTTCACCAACCTCACAGACCTTGTTTTGCCTTGAAGACGGCCTCTTGCTTCAAGCACAGTTCTCCAGCATGTCTTCTTTTTTTTCACGGACTCACATTTTAGCCTTAGCACACCAGTCTTGGAACTGCCTTCTTCTAAGCCCACCGGGAGACAGTGCTGATTGAGAAGCTGCCGCCTGCATCCTCACGAAATAGCAGCCTGGGAAGAGCACATGCCTCAGGCAACCGGGGTCCAGCATTTCGTAAACATGGCTCTGCCCCTGTCATTGGAGTGATAGCTCAAACATCATCTCAGAATCTCTCCCTGACAACTTAATCTAGTTTCCCACCCCCATGATCACGTGTGTATTTTAATAGGGAGCATCACAATTTGAAATCGCTGTTATTATTTTATTTTTAAACTACTTTATTAGTTTAAACTCCGCAAGGCCAAGGCTCTTGTGGTTCCCTACTTTTGTCCTCAAAAGCTAGAATAATAAAAGCAGCTCACATCCCAGTACATAGTGGGAACCATGTATTGTGTTCTATATCCTTCACCGGTATCATTTAATTTTCAGGAGTCTGATGAGATCGGTAGCATCTGATGGATTAAGGAAAGCTGAGGCACTGGTAGGTTAGTTTATCCAGGTCAGTTAGATAATGAGCCAGATTGCTGGGGTTAAAGCAAGCCAACTCCAAGACCTGTTCCTAGAATTACCATGGTGTACTTGGAGCTGTACATGGCACATGGTGGGGCTTGTAGAAATCACTGCTAAGTGAGTACATGAATTAACCTTAAGTGAGACGGACCAAGTTTAAGTGGAATGCACAGAGCTGGGTGTAGATGAATTAATTAGGGTGGTGTCTCAGCATAAAGACGTCAGGAGGTGACATCTAGGCAGGAGGCAACATCTAGGCCCAGATGATAACTAGCCGTGTGGTCTTGTGTGACCACTTGGGGCAGGCATCCTCAAACTACGGCCCGAAGGCCACATGCGGCCCTCCGAGGACATTTATCGGGCCCGCCAGGTGTTTTTGTCCGTTTGTTTTTTTACTTCAAAATAAGATGTGCAGTGTGCATAGGAATTTGTTCATAGTTTTTTTTTAAACCATAGTCTGGCCCTCCAACTGGTCTGAGGGACAGTGAACTGGCCCCCTGTTTAAAAAGTTTGAGGACCCCTGATTGGGGTTTAAACCTCATTCACCTCATGAAAAAAACAAGATTGGTGGTGGCAGCGGTGATAACCATTTTGCTGCCTAGGATAAGATGAAGATATGTGGGAAAGTGTTTAGAAAAAGCAGAGTGCTTTGTATGATTTTCTATGAGCCCATCGTATTTGGGGCTTGATAGGTGTTGTTTGGCCTTGTTTAACGTGGCTTGTCAAATGAAAGATTGAGAGGCTGGAACCTGAATTGTCATTTAGAAACCTCAAGGATCCATGTAGTTGCTCACCCACGTTAGTCACTGGGTCTCCTGCCTTTAGGAATGTTGACAGTTGGGTCAGTTCAAGTTTCGTAAGGTTCAGTGGCGCCCCCTTAGGAGGTTGCTCCATCTATGTTTACACAGGACTATCATTTTTAGTATTATATCAGACATGCGTGTATGTATTATTTTTAGTTCACTAGATTCTGCAAATTATACATTCTCTTTAAAAGATGACGGACCAGGCTTAAATATGGAGCCTGGTAAAGAGCCTTGGTGGCGTAGTGTTTACACATTGGTTGCTAACTGCAAGATCAGCAGTTTGAAACCAGCCTATTCTGCAGGAGAAAAAGGAGGCTTTCTATTCTCACAAAGACTTGCAGTCTTGGAAACCCACAGGGGCACTTTTACTCTACTATTGGGTGGTTATGAGTCAGAATCTACTCAGTGGCAGTGTGTGTGTGTGTGTGTGTGTGTGTGTGTGTGTTTTATTTGAGTTTTGGTCAAGGTATCACTTGAGTAACTTCTGGAATCTTAATCCAGATCTTTCAGCTGCAAAAAATAACCTTTTCTCTCTGCTTCCTGCTGTGCTGTACAAGAGAAGAGGAAAGCTGGTGACAGCGCCACCCCTTGCCTTGACAGGGAGACTGGTCCTCCACACAGTTGTAGCCAAGCCTGTTAAATTAGAAGGAAATCTAACTCTGATATCTGTTTGATCACAGCCTTTTCCAGGTGAGAAAACAATCAGCGAATAACTGACCTATCAAGAAGTAAGGCCCATGGCCCTGTGTTAGTAGAGCCGCCCCCTTTCCCCCACCTCTTTGGCTATGTGTCATATTTGGCAGCAGGGCAACAGGAGATAGGAGGGTAATGATATTGAGGCATTTTGATATAAGAGCTTTTTCTGTTAGCGAAGTTAATTGACAAGCCCATAACTTGGTTGGACAGTAAAAATCAGTAGAAACGATCATCAGATTAACTGAGGTGTTACTAAAGTGAACAAAAAAGCCCCAAATCCATGGCTGTGAAGTTGATTCCGACTCCTCGTGACCTTGTGTAGTGTCTCCTATGCTGTAACTCTTCATGGGAGCAGGTAATCCCATGCATTTCTGGTGCAGCAGCTGGGAGGTTTGGACCGCCATCCTTGCAGTTAGTCCAGTGCTTACCTAACAGCGCCACCAGGGCTCCTAAAGGGAGCAGATGAGAAACTGGTTTAATAGAAGGTTCACAGCAAATACGACTGTTCGCCTTCACTGTGAGTCAGCATCGACTTGATGACAGTTTTGTTTTTTTTTAATAATAGAAAAATAAAAATATAATGACTTCAAGAACATCATATAACCCTTCAAACTAAGGGTTAGGGCCTTGCTTATCTACATAGTGATTTGCATGAAATTATACAGGGAGGTTAAACCCTAACTCCTTGGAAGGTAAAATAAATTTGATAGATGCAAAACACTACAATTATATTCAGCTCCTGTTTTCAGAGCAAGCTTGTGTGAGGTACTAGTCAGTTTGACTTCTTCCTCTGTTAAGAGAAGGCACACAGCACTATGTATATGTCCACTTCCCATCTTCAACCCATGTAAGCAGCTATCTTTGAGAATTCATCTGAAGTTTGTTGCTTCTCAGGATTTAGACTTTACCTTCCTCCCCCGTCTACCTGCTGGGCTTTCTTCTGCTCCTGCTGTTCTTCAGCTTTGCCCTCATGCTCCTTACATCCCTCGAATCGAGATCAAATTTGCCATCATCCATTCTCCACCGGAACGTGATTCTGTACCACTGCTTAGGGAGAAGATACGGAAGTCCCCAGTCCTACGTACAAGGGGCAGTCCCAGGACTGCCAGTGCCAGGGAGGCTGCGTGCTGGAAGATCACACTGGTAGCTGCCATGCAGTCATCACTTGAGCAAATATTTATTGAGAACGTGTTCTTGACAGGCACAGGACCTTGCCTTACAGAGACCGTAAGGAACCAACCACAGGATCTCTGCCTCCTGGAGATCTCACCCTAGATGGGAGTGTGGAGGTGGGGAGAGTCTCAATCAAGTAAAACAATGCAAGGAAAGAATTGCTAGGAAGATCAGAAAATGGGGTGCAAAGAGAATAAAGGGGGTTATTCATCTGAAGAAGGGTAAGGACTGGATCTCTGAGGAGCTAACATGTAAGATTGGGCTTAAGCCAGTCATGTGGTGAGTGTGTTTACATGTTTATGCCAAGCACTGTGATGGGAGCCCTGGTGCCACTGCGGGGTAAGTATTGGACTCCTACCAGCAAGGCGAGCAGTTCAAGTCCATCCACTGCTCATGGAAGAACTGTGAGGGTGTCTGCCCCCATCCACATCTGCAGGCTCGGAAACCCTTGACAGGGTTGCTGTGACTCCAAATGGACTCGATGGCAGTGGGCTGCTGGCTTAAGCATGATGCTGAGTGTTGTAAGAGCATCCTGCTTAAGCCCTCAGCTGGCTAATGAGTGGATTGCGATCTCCGAGTCAGTGGGAATAGGTTTGGTGAGGTGAAGTACTATCACTTAGCCAAGGTCTGGAGCAAGTTAGTTGTTGGAGCTGGAAACTCACGCTTTTTCCATGTGCTGCGGTTCTGCCGCGGTGAGGAGGTTAGAGGAGGCTGGTCAGTGGTTGAGGCCAGATTGTGGGCCCTTAATGCAAGGCAAGCCGTTCTCTCATCAGGAGCGGAACTTTGGAAAGAGTTTTTCTAGTAGCGCTGACTTCCTTAAATTATTTTTTTACTGAGTTATAGTTTATATATAGTCATAAAATTCATTCATTTCAGTGATTTTTTTTTTTTTAGTAAATTTACAGAATTGGACCACAATCTAATTTTAGACATGTATGTGATTCCCACAAGAGATTTTGTGGCTCATTGTCACTCTCCAGGTATGCTTTTTTAAATTCCCCTTTTCTGGCCATTTCATGTAGATGTACATATAATATGTAATGTATAATATTACACATGATATATAATATTTGATGTCTGGCTTCTTTCATTAGGGTAGCGATTTTGAGATTCATCTATGTTGTAGCATATACCCATACTTTATTCCTTTTAATTGTGTATCCAG